GACCAGCACGATCATGCGCAGCAGACCGGCAGTCACCTGGACACAAATGACACGAGCCATGCACAAGCCGTCACAGGCAGACACCTCACAAGCCTGAAGCGCCAGCGCACCACCAGCTACCAGTTCATCGAAACTTCTTCCTCGCTAGGTGCAATCCCACCGAAGCCATACTTTTCAAAAGAGCGACCACTTACTATAGCCGGACACCAGTGCGGTAGACCTCGACCTCGAGGCAAGCAGCCTGCCACACCTCCCTGAAGCGCAGTTACTCGACAGCTTCCGATACCAATCTTCACTATGAACTTCCAAATGGCCTTACTTGTGTGTTGCGCGGCTGTAGTCGCGCTGGCTCATTCACCTTTGCAGAGAGCAGCACCAGGGTTCCACGGACCATCATCGGCGAGCAATGTAACAATCTGGCACGAGGAGCTCAATGAAACATCGGGCAGCTTCTTTAAGCGCTGGCTCTCCATCCCTGAACTCCCAAGCGCCGGTGTCATGCAGCTTCCCTACATTTATCCATGGCCTAGGACTTGCAGTAGCCCACCAAAGCGACCTGTGCGATACTGCTACGACAACGCGAGATCAGCGAGAAACCTTGGACCTTTAATGGAGGTGGCACAGGCAGCGTGGGCCGCAGCCATGATGAATCCGCAAGGACAAGTATCTTCTCTGTCCATTGAGCCGGATCCTGGATGTCCAAGAGACGAGGATGGTCAGCTCAAGCCAGACTGTCTTTGCCTTTCTGGGAGAGTCCGAAAGGATACTCTGGTGATATCTGATGAAACCAAAGACGGCGACGATGACTTTAATGACAGCCCGGAGTGCGAGACATCAACGACGCTTGGTTACGAGTATATTGCCGATGACGAGCCTGACCGACCATGGAGACACCAATTACGCTTTTGCGCATATGAGCCAACGCATCCCGATAGAGGCTTCGATTCGGCCAGTCGAGATCTCACCCATGAACTCGGTAAACTGCGCTCAGAATGAGCTTTTCCAGCTGTATTATGAATTTGTACTAATCGATGTGCTAGGACATGCCATGGGACTGCATCACGAACACCAGCGACCTGACCGCGATCAAAGCCTCGTTTTCACTTGTCGATACGTCAGAGGCTACTTTGAAGTTCGCAACGAAGTCGATGCCGATGAGTTTGGGCTCTTTGCGCAGGCTGGCATGTCAGGTGCTTCAAAAGATCAGAAAATGGCCAGAGTTTGCTCGAGCTGGACTTTTGCGGAGAAGTACTTTCCAGAGCTGGCAGACTTTCTTAGAGCGGATCAGTTCGACTTCGATGGTGACATTCTATATAAAACCAGGATGCAGCGTACTGAATGGTCTCACACTTTTGATCTTGACAGTGAGTACAAGACTTTTGATACCATCGATGATGCAGTGCTGACCTTTGAATCAGGCATCATGATCTACGACTCCGGAATGGCGAGCATGGACTCGACACAACGACATTGGGTTCTGAAACGTCGAGATGGCTCCGAAATCATCATGGGCGGCAGCAAGAACGAAGCAAGAATCACTGAAGGAGACGTCGCCAGAATCGCAACGCTGTATGCCGTTGACACGCAGCAGAATCGTAATGCCAGGGAGGGCAATACTGGCAACGACTGGACAGCCGTACACAGATTGCCTGAAGACTTTGGATCTGACTCTGGTGAAGACGACTCCGATGATGAATCTGACGCCAAGGTGAAGAGGAAAGTGGAGCCAAGGACTATGACGATCAAGATTGGAAACAGTGATCCAGTGGTGGTTCGTCCTCCGCTGCCTCTTCGAAAGGTCTTAGAGGTCTGAGTGGAAATTTCTCACATATCCAAGGCAGCGAGCGAGCGGAGGCATGAAAAATTCAAACACAGAATGGACGGGTGAAAAATTGGTACTTGTTTAAGGCTTCTCAATAGCTTCTCTCCTCTTGAAGAAACTGCTCTCATGTCTTCTGAGCAAGTACGAGTTTCCTGCAATGTCGAGCACAACATCTTATTCGAGTCCTGATCGCGTCGTGGTCTTGATTGAGTACTCTTTGCAGTACTGCGCGACACTACCCTGAAAAAAAAAAGAACCGTAAGACATGAACCCTACAAATGAAAACTTAAAAGAAAATCCCACATACAACACACGACATCTCCTTCCCTCCCGAAAACCCAACCTCCTCGCCATTTCCAAGACTTCACTTCCACGCCTTGCCCTTCAAACTCCACCCCTTCCCCTCCTGCCCTCTACATCCCCATCATCTTCACAGCATCTCCTCCTCCATCAACCCAAACACCATCACATCTCCAGATCCACACTCCATTCCACTCATCTCAGCTCACCCTAGATCCTTTCCCTCCCCCTTCGCAGACATAAGCCAAGTTCTAAAATCTCCCTTACTCTTTTTTCATCTTCTCTTCTCTTACCTACTAAAATCCTAATCCTCGAAAAAAAAGAAGTAGAGTAAGAGTAAGTATTCGAATCCGAAAAATTTCTTTTCGTATCGATTCGAATTATAACTTACTAAAAAAAAGTAGTCGTAGTAGTAGTATAAAAATTTTTAAAGTAAAACGTTATAGTAATACGATAACTGAAATTTTTCTCTTAGGTTTTTTTCTTTCTTTTCTTTTCTTTTCTTTCTACTGTACTTGACTCTTTTACTCTAAATCGAGGGAAATATTAAAGGGGTTTAGGAGGAGGGGGATTTTAAGAGATATATGTATATACATTTACCTACCTAGTCTTAAGGAGAAGAGAAGAAAGAAGGGTTCAGGTGGATGATAATAGGGAAGGTGGAGATTTTTTGGTGGTGTAGGAGTTGGGTTGGTCTTGTGATGAGTTTTTGTTTTGATGGGAAGGGGAATACGTATGTTAATGTGTGGTCGAATTCGGGCGTGTGCGTTGAGCAAGGACGAGACAAAGTTGTTTGTCGCATGTGCTGGACGTATGGGCGAGTTTCGAGGGAATGTCGTAGAGGTAGAGCTGGACAGGTAGTGAGATGGGTGCCACCAGAACTTAGATCTTGAGCAATCAGTTGTTGAGAAGATTGTGTGTGTAATGACATGAACTTTTGATGCGTGCAGCTACAGACAAATGCGCCGCGCTATGCTCATGAAATCCTCACATCATGCCAACATCAGATCCTCCACAAGTAATGACTCTGCATCTAGTAGAAGAAACCGATGATCTTGCCGGCGACGTGCTTTCTCCTAGCCTCCTCGTGGTCCATGATACCGGCGGAGGTGGTGAGGACGATGTAGCCGAACTGACGTGATGGAAGCAGTCTGACGACCCACTTCTCGAGGTCATTGAGCTGGACATTGTAGCGTGGAGAGATGACACCAGTCTTGTTGAGACGGCCGTTGAGCTGAATGACAATCTTGCCGTTGCGGTGGTCATCGACCTCCTCGAACTCGCCGATGTAGCCTGAGTAGAGCAAGTCAGTGATTGTCGCAAACATTTAAAAGTGCCTCTTCAGCCAGAAATTCCGAGGACATGTAAGATCCTTGCCAATAAATCTCAATCTCCCGAGCACTTAAAGGGCGTTGGTCGTGGAGCTTTTGAGACCATTGCCTAGTTATCAACCCGGTGTGTGCTTTCCGCCGCCACGTTCTCGCCAGTGCCTCCTCTTGCGCTGATTTGAAGGCAATTGCGATACGACTTACCGTGCTTCTGCATGACCTGGAGGAACTTGACGATGACCTTGGAGGATGGGCGGATCAGGACCTGGCGCTTGCCGGTCTTCTCGGCGTTGTTGATGGCGTTGAGCGCATCGTTGAGGACGGAAGTCTTGACCATGGTGACGGTGTTGGCGGTGGATTCTCAGCGGCGATGCGGCTGGGAGTGTCCTTTTTCAGCATATTAGCAAGAGCCCATGAGCGCGAAGAGTGCCCTGCCGGTCGCGAGAGGGTTCTTCAGCTCGAAGTGACGAGGCGCTGCGGTGTCATTGTATCGCATACAATGAGCGCAGACCCTGGCTCTTGACGGAGTCACGGCGATATCGACATACCTGTGAATGAACGGCGAGCTGGTGGTTGTAGACGTGCAGCTGTGGTCGAGCAAATCTTGCATGCAATGCGCGGGTGGAAATCTCAAAAGTTCGCCGTGCGTGCCAAGAGATTCTGGGCTGCCTGAGGCCAGGGTCATTGCGAGACGAATTCCCCTCCATCTCCACCTGTTGTGTCCACTATTTTTCTCGAGTTCCCAGCTTCCCACCACCCGACAATAATCACCAGCTGCCATTCCTTACACCCTCGACCTGACTGCCCGCCTTGTTGGTCCGGCTCCGTCTCTCCCCAACACCGCAAACATGATTATCTACAACGTGAGTCTCCCGTAGCAACGAAGCCTTCTTGGCTCTTCACGCAGACCAGACCGCCGCCCCGCTTTAGAAGACAAAATGATTCCCCAGGTTGATTACTTGGAGCGCCTCAACTGATGCAACTTGCCGCAGGACATCATCACCGGTGACGAGATCATCTCTGACTCCTACGACCTCAAGGAGGTCGACGGTGTCGCATACGAGGCTAACTGCAGCAAAATCACCATCGGTCCGGTCGACGTCAACACTGGTGCCAACGCTTCCGCCGAGGAGGCCGAGGAGGGTGCCGATGATGCTGCACAGACTGTGATCGATATCGTCCACTCTTTCCGTCTCAATGAGACGGCATTCGACAAGAAGGGCTACCTCAGCTACCTCAAGGGATACATGAAGACTGTCAAGGAGAAGCTGAAGGAGAATGGTGCCGACGAGGAGGCCATCAAGGAATTCGAGAAGGGCGCACAAGGCTTTGCCAAGAAGATCGTTGCCAACTTCAAGGATTACGAGTTCTTCATCGGCGAGTCGATGAACCCGGATGGAATGTGAGTAGTGCAGGAAGCACGATTCTTTGGTTGAGCGGCGCGTACTAATTTGTTCAGGGTCGTCCTGCTCAACTACCGTGAGGATGGTGTCACGCCATTCGTGACGGTATGGAAGCACGGTCTCAAGGAGGTCAAGGTCTAAGGGCAGACGAGGGTGGAAGGTGAAGATGGGGGAGGATTGGGGATTACATGGGAAGCAGTGCTTGATATGCGGCCACCATGTGGAGCTCCGGACCAGAAATTAACGCTAGACATGACTTGGGCATTGATGACTTTTCCGAATCTCAGCATGCATCAGACAGCACTGCACATCGTTCCACTTCCACGATCGGCCAGACCGGACGGGTGACTATTCGCTGGCAGACTAGCAAGAATGTGAGTTTGTCAGCCGTCAGCAAAGCATGTGCCTATCGCCATTGCTGTGGTTCTGGACTGCGGATAATCATGGATTACAGGTGGTATTGAAATCGACTTTTGCCTGGTCAAGCTTAAGCGTTCTAGCCCTCGGACATATTCAGACGCTGGATCATACTACTGTGCGTGCTCTGCTCTGCTGTTGACGAGAATAGATGCATGTGAATTTGCAACACGCGCGTCGCCCAAGTGGCACGTGATGGCGACCGTGATTCGTGATGTGACTTCAGGCAACAGCGCAGCGGAGCGGCATGGGGCGTCTGCCGGGCCGGGCGAAGCGAAGCAGCTATCCCTGCGCCACTAGCATCTTTGTTTGTGATGTTGACGCTGCAGCTGAGTGAAGCATTTGCGCTCATCATTCAGAAAGTGCGGTCTGCATGTCTCCGACTCTCCAGAGAGGGTGAGAGTTGTTTGGCAGTGGCATGGTACATGGCGCGAAAACGCAAGAGCTCCGAAATGGAGCCTTCTCCACGCGAGTCAATGCCCGTGCCCGTGCCCGAGCCCAAGGCTGTGCCTGAGGGGGTGCGTGTGCCTGAGGCTGAGCGTGGCATTGGCCATGGACCCAACGCGAAGGAGCTCGACGAGCAGTTGGCGCGATTCTGTGGCGATGCTCACCTGAGATGGCCTCGCGCAACACCACATCCTCCCCCCTCGCCAGACATTGAGAAGCTGTACAAGCGCCTGGACCAGCTGTACCGGTTCCTGTACTTCCGAAACCCACTGCAGCTCCAGCGCGCGGAGGCCAACTTCTTTCGGAGTCTGCTGGGCACGCCGAACAGTCAAACAAGCGAGAAGGCCAGATTGGAGCTGATCAATGAGCGTCTGGAGGATGTGCGCACCACCACACCGCACCGAGGCACCGCCAAGCATTCTGTCCTCCCCACACCCCGCCCGCCTCGCTCTTTGCCCACTGTCGATGAGTCCGCCAGGCCCGACCCTCCTTCACCCTCACGAACCACCAGAGCCGCGAACATCGCGACCTCCAGGCACACAGAAGCTCCAGTGAAGCAGACTGCCAATGCCCAGTCCAGCAAAGCGCTCTCTGCCGCTCCATCCTCGTCGCGACATGCAGACCCTCCGCCCATCAAGAATCACTTCGCCGTCACGAAAAAGGCGCTCTTAGAAGCCAAGTCCGCGCCCGTCGACACCTCCTTCGCCACAGATGCAACCAAGTCCTTCGGAGCACCACCCATTTTCACCCAATCCACCCAGTCGGGAACCCAGCTGACCGCCGCTACTGATCTGACTTCGGACGATGAGAATTACTACAGCGCCAAGCAGACCGGATCGGAGGCTGAGGTAGGGTCAGATCAAACGACCGACTCGGAAGAGGACAGGAAGCGCGAATCGACCCACTACGGTTCTTCACTTGCACCAAGCGAGGCGAGAAGTCTGATAGCGGCTGTGCAGAAACTCGAATCCTCGCAAGACACCGTCCGGAGAATCCCACGAGCTTCTCATGCACCGTCAACTTCAACACGAAGCTCACAATTGTGGGGCTCCTCGATAGACACCAGCCAAGCGGACTTCTTGCAGGCTCGCGCTGACATCCTCCTAGCAGATGCCGATGCTTGCCTGACCGATCAACCTGGATACACCATTGATGGGAGAGCATCTTCATCGAAGCGTCCCAGGCTAGAGCAAAATCGCCAACTGATCACGCCAAGCGATGATGAAGTTGAGCAACACCCCGTCTTCCGTCCTCTTCCAAAAGTCACGACACAGCGTTTCTCGCCTGCGAAAGATTTCGCTCAGCTGAAAATTCCCGCCAGCTTCACCGAGCTGTCGTTCGAACTCCAATGGGAAGCGCAGAGAGTGCTGCAAGCGGGAATACTTTCGCCGGAACAGCTTGACAAGCAGTGCTATCCAAGGAACCTGGAGACGCTGTACAGACTGGCTTCTGTCTCGGGCAAGCCATTCACGCAAGGTTTCCGCGCGGACCAGTCAACAAATTGGGAAAAGGCCACCTTGAATGCCAAACTTGAGTATGCTAAATCTCGATCTGGAAGTTTGTTTGATTTGACCCTACAGCCGCCTAATCGAGGAGACGATTGTGCTCTTCAGCGGAAGATCGGCAACCAAAACGTTTTGTATGTTGACATCCCGAATCTCAACAAGCCGCCGGTAGAGCTCAAGGGCAAGAACCTCAACAAAAGGTTTTACGACATGGCGCTTCAGTTTCAGCATTTCCTGGGTCGGAAATGGTTCCTCTACTTAACGCAAGCTCACAAGCGGAAGAAGAAGGTCGACCCTGAGGTAACCAAAGTTGGAACCTGTCGACTCATGTTCCTTGCTGTCGATAATCGGTTCTCGATGACAGACGTGCTTTCGTACGTGATACCGTACGACTACAATTCACAGCAGGCCGCACGCAAGGTCTATTCAAGACTCGAGTTAGCAGCATCTTCTACTACACCCGTCTTCACCTTTGCGTGCGAAGACGTTCAAATTGTAGGAGACCAGCTTGCATCGACAGATGCCGCCGATAACACTTTCCTTGATCCTGCTCTAGCATCACGGTTCTACGAACCGCAGGTCTCCAACCGAGTAATGAATGATGGATGCTGTGATATTCATCCCTGGGTGATGTGGAAAGCAACTCACGCGCTGGGAGGAGATACCGACCTGAAGACTGCTTTGCAAGCTCGGTTCGGGCTAGGCATGGCGAAGGGGATCTGGTACAGATGGCCGGGGCCGCCTCCTCCATCTTCGGATGTCAAGCCTCCCGGACCATTGATTAGGATATCCAGTTCGCAGATCAAGGTGAAACACGGATCTCTGCGTGATCTGGACTCTCATGGCTTGACCCTGAACGTTGTGAAGGCCAATTCCGATGTTAGGCAATCGATTCTTCACATCGGATTTCTGTCGATTCTCGTTGATAGAGGTGTACCAAAACAAGACCTCATTGAGCTCGTGCGGGAGCAAATACATAACGACATGGACAAGCTAGAGACAGCTCTTAAGAGCCCAAGCCCAATGCCGCTTCGTCACTGGATGCATCGGCGACATGAGCTCTGGGAGGAGCGCAACCGCACTGGTGACATTTCGAAAGTCGCGGGGTTCCCCGTCTCTCGCGAAGAGCGCATTGTACAGATGCTGGAGTCTGGCCTGGTGCCGAGCCAAGAAGCATTCCTCGCCAGCGAAGTTCGGACGATGGTGAAGACGGTTCTAGACACGAAGAAAAAGAACTTCAAGATACCTTTGAGTCGGTCAACCACGTTACTCGGCGTAGCCTTAGCAGACCCCTTGAATTGCCTGGCCCCTGGCGAGATTCACGTCAACTTTGCACGAACGTTTTGCGACAAAATCACCGGTATGCCTTGGTCAATTCTTCACGAAATGGAATGTTTGATAGCTCGGAACCCTGCTATGGCTCCATGGGACATGCAAAAAGTGAAAGCTGTTTTCAAGCCGGAGCTTGCACACTTGCCAAACGTGGTCATCCTTTCTGCAAAAGGCAAGCGACCTTTGGCCGAACTTCTCCAAGGTGGCGACTACGACGGTGACACCTTCTGGCTCTGCTGGGAACCGAGACTGGTTCGCCCGTTTCGCAACCATCCCGCGCCATGGGACCCTCCTCCTATCGATTTTTTTGGCATTAAGAAAGATCCCAAGTTGCTCTGTGATTATGTGAAGCAGCCGAGGTCGGACTCGCAATGGCTCAAATGGCTCGCAGATATGGCGGAGACGCGTATGAGATTTAATCTTCTTGGTGTCGTTACCAAGCTGCACGAACGATTAATCTATCTGGAAGGCGGTATTCGATCTAGGAAGGCGTTGTATCTGGTCCATCTACATGACTATCTTGTCGACGCAGACAAGCAAGGATACGACTTCGCCGTGTCTGATTTGGAAGAATTTAAGAAGAAAATAAAGCTGCCGACCAACCTCCCCACTCCAGCCCACTGGGAATTCACAAAAGTTGATACCAGCGACGATGAAGATGTGTATCCAGTGCACGACTTCAAGATCAAGGGCAACATTATCGACGACGTGTTTCACCAAGTCATACATCCAATGGCAGAAGCTTCCCTCAGTCGTGTGCAAGATATTCTCCGCCCTGCCGCAGATGCCGAAGACCTCAGCCTCGCTAAGTTCTACAACGAGACTTTCCTTTCTGCCGCAAATGATGACGACATGGCAACTTCATCTGGTCAGGAACTGGCGCCAAGGGAGGCTCGAGATCTGATAAAAAAAGAACTAAAGGCTCTGCGGGATCGTCTGTCAGAGGTTCGCGACCTTTGGATAACCCAGCAGAAAAAGCATACGTTCAACGAGCTCATCCTGCAGCTTCGGGAAAAATACGAATCCATTATGCCAACAACTACCAAGCGTGATCCGACTATCTTCGAGTGGCTGCGCAAACAGGGCAACGACCTCACCATTTGGGAAAAATTGAGGGCTTCGGCTTTCGCAAAATTCCATTACAAAACCAGTACACCCGGTCGACTCGTATGGCACGTCGCTCATCGCGAACTCTGTCTTTTGAAGGCACACGAATGTTGTTCTCAGACGAGAACTTTGACGACGGAGGCATGGACTTCTCTTCGTCCTAGAAAAGAATTGAAGACGATCGAGGTTGACGACGACGAAGCCCCAGCAAACATCGAGGCCAACTACGATGACTGCGTCTCGAACGAGTACTACTGAGGTCCATATGTCATCGCTGTGCAGACGGAGCGTCAAGGCTTTGCTTTGCATACAGCAGGCGCGCAAATTACCCAAACCCATTTACGTGTATACCACGTAGTAGATTCACACCACTCCTCCAACAACCACGCACGCAGATGCTTGGCAATATTGGGCGAAGCTACGAGTGGAATGTTTTGTTTTTTTTTCTTCTCTTGTTTAAGGCGACGGCGGATATATTGATACCCGCTTGCTTTTCTTCTTTCAGTTCAGTCCAGGAGAATCTTAGGGGGGAGCGCGGGGGTGGAAGCGAACCCAAAGAATTGAGAGTTTGAGGTCGTGAAATGTGATGGATGAGTAGGCGTAGGAACACGTTTCGAGATATCATGGTTCATTTCCTGTTGTTACTAACCACCTGCCTTCGTTTGCCTGCCTCCTTCGTGACTCAGTGCTGGCATACGTACGTGATCAGAAAATACAACCCAGTCCCAAAGATCGTGAAGTTCGTACGGCCCCGACAGCGAGAGGGTTCTTTTCCTGCAAAAGCATCCATCCCTATGCGAGCGAAAAGTCATCAGGCGAAGGGGAGAGCTTAGGTAGTGTGAAATAAGAGCAGCTCCATTCAGCTGCAAAAATTTCCTTCAATCCTGAACGGTGCGCGAATCTTGATAGATAGATATATATAGCAATAATGTGAATTGCGAGCTCATAACATTCAGCGTAGTATCATCGTCTGTCTCTTCAGGCCAACACAGATGCGCTCCGTTACGCTAATAAAACAACAATGTCTCCTGCCCAGTCGTCGGAGGACAAACTCGCCGTTAGAAGTCATGTCCGACGAGTACATCCTACGTATATAGCGCGTGTCTGCGGGAGTGATCGTCAGTCGAATCTCGTGAGAAGTCAAGCAGCGCAGCCATATTCGTCGTCCACTCGCTCGCATCGACTTTATATAACCAACCAGATTCGTAGCCCAGAAAATCTCTCGACATCTCTCCTTTGACACCTACCAAGGTCACCTATCCTCGACATACCCTTTAGCCTTTCTCGCTCCGCTGATACGTTCTGATTGCCCAAGCAAGCTAGAGGATTGGGAGGTTATAGTTTGCCTTACAGGATTTTGAATTGAGGGCGCCATCTGGGTGGTTCGCGTAAGTAACCTAGCGATGAGGCTGAGTGTGGCGATACGATGCGGCCGTCGAGAGGAAGAAATTGACAGATGCTTGTTGGCTTGATGACATGTAACGAACGGTATGAAGTTGTTGTGGGCGCTTCGGATCCGAATGAGCTCACGTCGGTTATGGCGCTAAAACAGGCCCATGGTATGGTGTGTAGAGGGTGAACGCGGCAACAACCTGATAACAAAAATCGATAAGACCCCGAATCAGATTTCTTCTGATCGTTGTGCATTGCTGGTCAAATGGCACATCATTTGAGACTCTCGCGCCATAATGTCGGAAGCATTGAGAACGAAGGCTTGTTACATGAGTCTGTCGTTGGTATGATCACATTTCAGTATTAGCATTACTTTAGTGTAAAAATTACCTCATGCTCCTGGAATCAACGCCCAGCACACCTGTATTTTTGCCCTGCAGAGACTCTCCTACTCTGTCGGCTAGCCCCTTCAAGCCTGAATTAGTTGTCCGTTTACGTGGACTTCGTCGTAACGATTCTTGTGCCCTCATTTCCTCTGCTGACTCTTCAGCTAGCACGCTGATTCCGTCAGCTGCCGGATCGTCCAGTATCTGCTGTCTCGATCCGATTGCTTGACGCGTTGGCTTGCCGGCGGGAATATTAGGCTCAAGTACCGCTTGCGCAGATCGTGCCGTAGATGATGCGCCGGAAACATCCTTCTTATACGGGTCCTTGGCGAAAGGCGTTGAAGTGCCGCTCGAAGAAGTGCTGCTTGCAATATCTGCATCCATTTTCTTCTGCGCTGCAATCTTCTGCCTCTCGTATCTTGCGGTGACATCGCCGCCTGTCCACTTTGTACCCAGAAGACCATCCCAGAACGTGAAGAAGGGCTGCGAGAAGTTGGTCTTGATTCCCCAGCTTTGATGGTGCACGTCATGGTACGCAGCGTTGTTGCTAGTGAGGTGCTGCAGAGGGTCCCAGGGGAACTTATAACCACAGTGGTCGTCAACAGTCTTGATCGTGGACATAGTGAAGAACCACATGCTCTGCCTGACAGTCATTCCAGAGAGAAGATACGCAAGTCCAGTTCCCAGAGTATCCAGAAGAAATCCTTCAAATGGATGATTGTACAGAGCGCCGTATGCATATGGTACGTAGAGCCTGTGATGCCTGCTGTGGAAAGTGGTGTAGAGGTACTTGTTCATGTGCATAGCTCGGTGAAGGAAATACTGCCAGGTATCGACAATGCAGATAGCGAAGACAAATTGCATCACAGGTATTCCAAGGTGGTAGATCATCTTTGCTGCCTGCAGCTCCCAATGAGCGAAAGCAGGCGCAGTTACGGTCTCTCCCATGAGCGACAGCTCCTGGGTAAGCTCTGGATACACCCCACCGGCAACGACACCAGCTAGCATGTGATGGGACGAGACGAGATTACCGGCTATCGTCTTCGCGTCCAGTCCGAGTGTTGCCAAAGCTAGCGGTACAACTCTTTGCGCAAGCCGCACATTCTGCGCCCACCACGCCACGTCGTAATCCTCTTTTCCATATGTAGGCTCCGGATCCAAAAACGTGATTGCGATGCCAAAGAGTGTCTGAATGACTTGTTGTATGATTACGTCCTTGAATACGTCCCATCTGCTAACATGATTTCTCTTCAAAACCTCTGCGGGGGTGTGAAGTCGGTATTGTGGGAAGAGGTCCAGCTCGTCAATGGCGTGAAAGAACAATGACACTCCCCAATATGCGATGATGGGAAGAGCCAAGGTCAAATAGGCATCAGGAATCCATGATATGAGAGGAGGAAGCGTCTTCAATGTGTATGACGGAAGAGGGGGCAGATCGAAGTACGCCGTCGCGTTGGCCATGCTGTCGAAGGGTGGTGGTGGTATGATTGCAGGTGCAAGCGCCAAGTGGCGCCTCCAAGAATTCGCTATTCAGTCCAAGTGCGGTGTGGTGTGAGGGTGTACAGCGTTGCTGAGCGCGCGTATCCTCACAGGATCAGGAGACGGAAGTTGGTCGAGGCGGGAGTCAGCGGGGCGGAAGGCGTCGGTCGTGGTGGTCGGTGGTCGTGATGCGCTGGAGAGAAGCTGCGGATGTTCAATGTTTCAATGGGAAGGAGCGGATGGGGTCAATCAGGAAAATGGCGTTGCAGAAGTGTTTGAAGGGAGAATGAAGACGTGAGATGATCGGACAAAGCACGACACGATCGCCACACAGAGACCCGTGCGCGAAGCTAATCTCGCATTCCGGCATGCCGACCGTCAGACGTCATTCACTTCCATCGACACCCCCAAGCGCCGAAACATGTGAAATCATCACGATAACAGTCTCCCATCATGAAGAGGGAAATTCATGGGTGCGCAACTTGCGCATCGGTCTTCGGAAATGCATCAGATCCCATGTCTGAGAAACCACTACTGCCTGGCCGCCACCTGACATGCTGCGGTCGATCAATATGCGCGCGATGTCTAAACCAGAACAGGAGATACGAAACATACTGTCCCTATTGCCAAATCGCAACAGAGCCTTCGCCCCTGCCTCAAGGCCTTAGAGATCCGCCGGCATATTCGACGCTTGATAATCGATTCCCCCCACCACCAATGCTCAACGCTGACGAGCTTCCGGCATATTCAGAACATCAGGCCGTTCAGCCGCGACCTGAAAAGTCACAGCCTGCAGAGGATGTCTTGCATTTCGTGAGGCCGGAAGATAACATGCTGTCATTGGCATTGGCTTATGGAGTTCCCATCAACGTCCTGAGAAAGACGAACAATATCTATTCTGACCATCTCCTGAAAGCGAGGAAGACGATCCTGATACCCGGGGAGTATTATAAAGGAGGGGTGTCGCTCTCAGCACGGCCGATCGAGGGTGAAGAGGAGGAGACCCGAAAGAACAAATTGAGGAGGTTCCAGGTGGCGACTAAGGTTGCGGAGTAAGTTCTTCTCCATCTCGTAACACGTTGTATTTAGTCCACTGATCTCCATCTCGACTGACAAGTGTTCCTTGTGCTCTCAGATATGATGTTGCCGAGCTATATCTCAAGAACTCAGACTGGATTCTAGAGGCTGCGATAGAAGCTTTCAAGGAGGATGAGCTGTGGGAGAAGCAGAATCCATTGCAAGCGAGCAGCAAGGGAAAGAAGGGCAAAAATGTTCAGACTGTCGGCATGAGGAGATTTGTTGGGAGTTCCAGATGATGTACCATTACCATGCCTATATCCGAGTAATCTCAACACGTGCCCGCTCATGTAAACTATGTGCTGCAAATTCTTCTGAAGAGCGATCCTCATCCGTGAGTGTGCGAGGGAAAACGCTCAAAGCAGCAAAGGTGCCAGGTCCGCGTCTTTTGCTCAGCGATCCTGGATTGATGCAAAGCACGCCTTCGATGAACTGGTGGCACAAGTCAGCGAAACTATCGGTAATGTTATAAGTAAAGATTGCACTCACTCTCGCGAAAGGCATCAAAGTGGACGGCAGTATAAGCACATCAGGTCGTGCTAACCAGAACTCGCCCAACTTGTAGTAAGCAAGGTCAATATTAGCTCCCATGGCGTATCGCTCTTCGCCTCCCGGTTCGGGTATTTCTCCTTCAATCCCGGTCGGTTTGGGCAAGTCTTCTCTAGCTTGTGGCGGGAATACAGGAAAGTAGTGACTCTGCTCAATAACATGTCCTGCTAATCGCCCCATCATGTCGCCATCTACCTTGTGATAGACATTGCCGCTGCGAATTTCCGACAAGACATCTTGACTACTCATACCAACGACCATTTCGTTTATGGAGAGCGCCATTGGATTTGCAACGAATTGGACCTGTCGAGGTAGACCGAGAGGTGGTTTCGGCACACGATCTTGAGGCCAGGCGACGTGTTTTGAGATGGCGTCTCGCATTGAAGGAACCATGATTATTGTAATTGTAGGGACGGCCTGTGCCAGCTTCTGGATGGCTCCACTGATGAGGACACGGAAAACGTCAGTCAAGGTCGCCTGATCAGGTTCAATCTTGGCACCTGAAGGCAGGTGGTCCTCAAAGTCGCCCGATGCAATCACTGGGTGCTCGAGGTCCAGGAATGGCCCAATAAGGACCACCACATCTGTCCTCTCACGTTCCGCTTTCTCAAGCAGGGTGTATAGCGGCGCGAAAGAAAGATCGTTCTCAGTTGTATACGGTCCGCTCGCCACAAGCATGCTCAGTGGTCGGCTCTCGCCATCTGTGCCTACAAGTCGATCGTTGTGGACTTCGATGTCTTCAACGCGCGATGCAGCAGAGGGCAGTATGGGCATGGGTATCACTTCTGTGGCAGCGAAGTACTCTCCGCTAACATTCGTGCCTTTGAGAGCCACGATCTTGCCGGGGAAGAAGTCGTAGCTCGCACCATCTGCCATTCTCAAAGGCACTCGCATGCCTGCTCCCATACGCCTGCTCGTCTCAAGTGCTAAGCTCTGAGCATTGAGTTTCCCGATCGGCTGATCACACGCTATTCGGCCTACGGCAATAATCTCATTTGCTGATTGAGCGGCTGGGTTGCCAAACGCGCTGTCCTCGAGATTCTTGTCTTTTTGGAGAAGATCCACAAAGCTGTCAATCCTGTCGTCTAAGATCTCAGAAGCTTCTGATAGCTTCATGGCCATAGGCTTGTAGGAGAATTTGGGCAAGTCCACGGCCGCCTTCAGCTTCACCCGAGGTTCCGTAGAAGGCATCTCAGGGACTGAAGCTGCTGGAAGATGTGTATTGAGAGCTTCCACAACCTCACCGGCATTCGTGCGATCTTCGAAGGCAACCGATGGGCCAGCCTTGGCCACGGGTGTCTTGTTGTCCGCGGGCGAGCTGTGCAGACCACTTCTGACGGCTTTTGATGCCGGCGTAGCAAAATCGCTTCTCCTCTTGGCAGCAGATGATCTCGAAGCGGGTGTATTCGAAACGATGCCATCGAGCATGCCGAATACATCTCCGCCCCCTCCACCTGCTCGTGGTGTGGCTGCTGTCCTCTTCGACTCGTTCTTGGTGTTGAGCTTTTTGCGTGAATCTTGCTCCAACGCATCCTGCAATGTCTTTTTGAAGTCTCGTACGGTCTTGAAGTCGAGCTTTGTGGTGTCGGCGCCCATGGTAATGACATAGCTATCCCACTTGTAGAACAGGTCTTCTGGCGTCAAGGACATTAGCTGCATGATGTGCAGCAGTTCGGTCATTACATCTTGTGGCAGTGTGCTGTCCGGAGCAGCAAAGAACGTGTTGATCTCAGCTTCGGCGGTCGCCATGTCTCTCTATGTCGGCATGTGTGATTGTGGATGACAACGAAGTGCTTTAGTGCTTCAATTGGGAGACGCGTTCGCGTGAAAGCGCGTTCTCTCGAGGAGGTGATATGATTGGTCGCGGAATGAGGTCCGTTCTCGCGATTAGCGCCATCGTCCTGACAACAGGCTAGACCCTTGAATCCTTGATACAACCAACACTTCGAAGGGAAATCGCGGCGGGACAGACGTTTCGGCGACCATATTCAGAGGACTTTGGAAGCGGCGGATGCATCGTTATTAGACGTACTGCTTGTGTGCTGTCATGGCTCGGCCGACCAAGGCTCAGCAGTTCGCTATATACGAAGATGAAGATGCCGACGCTGCGGACAGTGGCATTCCAAGCCCAGATCCAGAAGGTGACAAGACCAAGAAGGACCTGAGTCAAGAACATCATTTCGACACACTCGCACTCGCATCACAGCTCAGCCCAGGTGACGAAGCAGACGATGATGCCGACAGCACATACCTTGCCGGACAGCATGGAGACGCCGACGATGAGAGACGCCAGTCAGCCTTCACGTCCACCTCCATCTCGTCGCTACCAGAATCTGCCTTCGAGACCGACTATGAGCGCGGCGTGATGCATAAGCCTTACACCCCACCATCAATGCGCCCCACTTTTCGACGACCAGAATCTGTAAGGCGCATGCAGATGTCCTCGCCAACGCCGTCAGTGAGGAACTTGCGACGATCAGTCCTCTCTCCACCACGGGCACGAACGCCAAGGTCAACGACATCGAGTGTCAAAGGCAGTCCGAGGCCGAAGCGCTTGCAGGAAGAAGATATCGAAGAAGAAAAGAAAGACTATCCACTGGTGCTCCTCCACATCACCCTCTTACCGGTGAAGCTGCGATGGAGCTACGAAAGCATGCGAGACATTTTACCCGCCAACATTCTGGAAGACTTGCAGCTCTTGCGCTCAAAAACATCCGAGACTATCATTCAACGCGGTATCCTCATCCCGCATCCCCGCGAGGAATATGAACTGTTGGAAGAGCGGTTGCTGGAAGCATTGGAGCTAAAGAAAGAGCGTATCACCAAGTGCGGACATTTCAGGGCACGAGATTCCATAAGCTCCACTTCCTCTGCGGACTCTGGTGTTGGATCTAGTGTGGAGGGCTCTGACAGCAACCTTTGCGAGACATGCCATCACCATTTGAGGACAGTCAATTCAGTTGTTAGCACTGGCGGCCGTAAATGGAGCATCAAGGTATTTGCTGCAAATGGGCTGATGAAAGCTCCAGCATGGGCCGCCGGATGGTCAGAGATGGAGCGAGTGGATGTTGAGATTCTGCCCTGGATCAACGACGATCTTCGGAAAAGGCTAGACGCGAGAAGAGGGGAAGAGGATGCGGAGCGGAGATTGCAAGAGGAGGATGAGGAGGCGAGGATACGCGCATTGGTTGAAGAACAAGTCCGAATCGCACACGAGGAACAGAAGTGGGTGGCCCCAGAGGAGCGACGCATGATGCAGCATTTGCCGCCGACCGGTCAAGAAGTTCAAGTGGATATGCCGGTGCACTCTGACCCTCAACTGCAACCAGCACGAATAGACCTGCCACAAGTGTACCGTCCGAAGGATATTCCACTAGCGCTGCTTTTGAAGAATTACATCTTTCTCCTGGCTCAGGATAGGCGCAACATCGCTGTCTTCGCTCTGAGCGCTCTGGCATTCTGGCTTAGTTTACGCGCGGCGGTTGTCTCGAACAGCGTTGAAGGCACCACAACTGGAATAATGCACACTCGTTCGAGATCTCATTATGACATTCCGTTGATGCCCGAGATGGACGAGACGGCTCCTTTGCAACCAGTCGATGAGATCTTCCTAGGAAGAAGCGCTTTCGAGGACCTCACACCCCACGTAGAGGCTACATCAACAAGCAGCGCATTGACTCCCCTCGAGACGTTCTTTGACTCAGATGTAGAGACATCGAGCACAATTGTCACTGACAAGCTGAGTCGCATCATATCCTCGTCAAGCGCAGAGACCATGGAACGAGCTTCCTATCCGACAGAAGCCAGTGCTACGGATTTATCCACAGACCAAGAGTTCACAGAACAAACGACTTCTCCAAGCCGTATCTTCACTCATGGTACCTGTGGACTGGCCCACTTACCTTCAGATTGGAAAGATCCGCATTACGACCTTCAGAGATTGAAAGCACGCCAGAATCTTGGCTGACCAGGCATCAATATCACCCAATCACGCCCCATTGGAAGAGCAGCATATGAAGCAGTCCAGCGTTAATAGCGTAGCGAGGAGTTTGGGGTACCTAGTAGCTAGTAGCTAGAATTCGTCATTCAAAGCTAGAACCACGGCCCTGGTGACCTGGTCCTGCGATATGCTTTCCCAGGGCACCCATGCGGTTGATGCAACAGTAGCATATTGGCGACCATCACAAGTATTGTGATCATTGCGGTACCCAAACCACAACATGTTCATCACTGTGAGCCCGAAGACATGCGATTGCTTCTTAATATTGTGCTACATGCGTCCCTATGGCTATCAAGCTTCGCGCAGGGATTAACAAGAATCCGAAAGGAATGGTAGGATCCGCAGTCGCCCGTTTCAACGCAACCAGCTGATCCTGATAAGGTCTGCTCTTACGCCTCAAGAGCGCAAATCATACACCGATGCAGTGAACTGCCTCATGCATTCTCCATCAGTCCTCGACTCCAAATACAACAGCCCAAGCCATTTCGATGATTTTCTGGTGGTGCACATTAACCATACTTGGCATGTCCATTTGAATGGGTACTTCCTCGCGTGGCATCGGGCATACGTGCACATCTACGAAGATGCTTTGCAGATCAAGTGTGATTACAAAGGGATGCAACCTTGTATGTGCCTTGACTAACCAACCATCTATCTCGTGGCTGACCATCTGAGACTGGGACTGGCCGAAATATTTTGACCGCCCGCTCGATAAGAGCATTCTTTTCGACGGCTCTGAATTCTCTCTTGGTAGCAATGGGGCCCTTGATCCATCAGACACTGAAGGCTGTATCCACAGCGGTCCCTTCACAGCCTATCGTGTCCCATATCGTGTCGACGATGTCTTCGATGCACTCAGGGGCCCTCCACCAGAAGCCGTCTGGACTCGCGACGATTTCTGCCTCACACGAAGTCTCGACGACGATATATCCCGTAGCCTTCTCAATCAGACTCGCATCGACCAAGCTTTAGCGGCACCAAACATTACAGCTTTTCGCAAAGCGATGGATCCTTCTGCAGTAGACGCTCCTGGCATTGGTCTCCACGCTGCTGGACATCGGAGTGTCGGAGCTCAGATGGAGAATATTTTTGCTAGTCCTGCTGACCCCGTGTTCTTTCTTTTGCATGCGCAGATCGATAGGCTTTGGACCTTGTGGCAGGATAGGGATAGGGAGAATAGGGTGTTTGGGAAGGATGCTGTGAGCGGGGGTCAGACGATGTTGCATTCGCTGCCTACTCCAAACGTGACGTTGGAGGATTGGATTAGTTTTGGATACTTGAGTGAAATGGGGAAGGATAGAAGAGTGAGAGAGGTTATGGATGTGAGGAGCGAGTGGCTGGGATATAGTTACGAATGATGAATTTGTAGTTGCGGAGTGAACGTGTCGGATTTCGGAAGGCTCGTTTCAACATACGCTTCGCCCAGCAATGTAATCCGACCATCAAATATTGCACTCAGACGTGTTCTTTGTGAGCTAAGCATGTGAAACGACCCCGCAGTTTGAAGAGTGACCTGAAGCGGAAGTGGGGGCCGAAAGTGAAATTCCAAAACAATTGCAATTGCAGTCATCGAAACCTCCGACTCACAATTATTGCTCCCATTCGACCTCTTCTTGACCACCCACTCGACTTCCGGGTAACAGGCTAACAGAAAGCACTTCACGATCTCTACAAAATAAAGAGGAGGAAGAGCGACACAATGGCGGAAGCGGCGCCAGACGGAGAGCCCAAAATCTCCAAGCGGGCCGCGGAGAAGGCAGCTAAGAAAGAAGCTGCAAAGAAAGCAAAAGAGGCAGCAAAGGCTCAGGCACCGGCCACTGGATCGGGAGCAGGTGCAGCCTCTGCAAAATCTGCTGAGCCGGCAGATCCATTTAAGCAGGGCTGGCTGAAGGGTGTGTACAGCGAGAAGCCAGTGCAGGACGTCGTGACTCGATTCCCTCCCGAGCCCAATGGCTATTTGCACATCGGACATGCCAAAGCCATCACGGTCAATTTCGGCTTTGCAAAGAGCTACGGTGGCAAGTGCAACCTGCGATTCGACGACACCAACCCGGCGAAGGAGGAAGAGCAGTTCTTTACCAGTATCAAGGATATGGTCAGCTGGCTCGGCTTCGAGCCTGCCAAGATCACGCATTCCAGTGATGAGTTCGACCAACTGTATCAGCTGGCCGAAGAGTTGATTAAACGAGGTAAGGCATACGTGTGTTTCTGCTCGGCGGCAGCGGTGAAGGAGGCTCGTGGTGGAAAGGATCATGGCCCTCGGAGCGTATGCAAGGATTGGAGTGCTCCGGTGGAGAGGAACCTGGAAGAGTTCAGAGCTATGAGAGATGGCAAATACCAAGCAGGAGAGGTACATCTTCGGATGAAGCAGTACTTGGGAACGAAGGCGGAAGAGTATGAGGTGAAGGAGGACGACACAGCGGAGACTAAGAAAGAGAAGGCTAAGCTCAGAGCGTTGGCAAACAACCCAGCCCTGTGGGATGTAGCGGCATACAGAATCAAGAAGGAGAATTATCACCACCGGACAGGCAACAAGTGGCGGATCTACCCAACATACGAGTTCACGCACTGCTTGTGTGATTCTTTCGAAGGCATTACGCACAGTCTCTGCACGGTCGAGTTTGAGACACTACGACCTGCATACAACTGGCTGCTAGAAGCACTCGACCACAAGCTTCCCTCGTCAGACGAGAAAGGTCCCATGCAGAGAGAATATGGCAGACTGAATGTGGAAGGCACAATTCTGTCCAAGCGAAGAATCGCAATGCTCGTCAACGGTACCACGGTCGGTGGCGATGCTCCTGATCCAGTCGACGAGGCTGCTGATGGGGTGGACGAGATGCAGCTTGAGGATGAAGGCGATGAGGACCCAGAGACGACCGAAGAGGCCAGCAAAGTGGTGACTAATGGCACTGGCCGTAAGATTCCGCCTGCAGTTCGCGACTGGAACGATCCGCGTCTCTTTACTCTCGTAGCTCTTCGACGTCGTGGTGTACCTCCTGGTGCTCTCAAGAAGTTCGTGCTTGATCTCGGTGTAACCAAGGCTAATGCAAACACCGCTACCCACACGCTTGATGCTGTCATGAGACAGTATCTTGAGAGAACTGTTCCTCGACTCATGCTGGTCCTTGACCCAATCAAGGTGACCTTCACGAATCTGCCGGACGACTATGTGGAGGAGCGTGATGTGCCATTTGACCCGAAGGATAAGGAGAAGGGCAGTCACAAGGTTCCATTCACCAAGACCATCTACATTGAGAGAGACGACTTCCGAGAAGTAGATGACCCGGATTTCTTCCGCCTGTCGCCTGGTCAGTCAGTCGGCCTGCTCAACGCTGAGTTCCCAATTAAGGTCGTCGACTTCAGCAAAGACGAGAATGGTAAGGTCACTGAGATTCGTGCTGAGTACGGAAAGGAAGTACCGGCTGGCAAAGCACGCATCCATTGGGTCGGAGAGTCCAAGGCGCACAACAGCCCTGTCAAGGCCGAGTGCCGCATCTATAACCAGCTGTTCAAGACCGACAAGCCTAACTCCCTCGACTGGAAGACCGGTGGCTATTACGACAACATCAACCCAGATTCAGAGGTCGTCTACCAGAACGCCCTCATTGAAGTGGGCTTCCGAGAAGTCAAGGCCCGTGCACCATGGCCAAACACGGAGGGCGAGGCTAAGGGTACGGCGGACAATTCCTCTGTCCGCTTCCAGGGACTTCGGACGGCATTCTTTGCTGAAGACCAGGATTCCACTGCAGACCGTGTCATCCTTAATCGCATTGTGTCCCTGAGGGAGGATTCAGGCAAGAAGTGAAGTTTGAGCACGTATGTTGTGGTAATGAGCGAGGCGTTCGGAGAAGTTGTGATGAGTATAGAGATACCCGGCATGTGGAGACGATTTTGTCACAGGGCCTCGGTGGTGTCCCGCTTCGCAAATAGATCCAGTACAAGGAATGCTGAGATGTAAGAATATATTAGATGGTTCATGCAATACGGGCGCCGTCCTCATTGAGGTGACAGTCTGGTTTGGTCACTTTATTATCTTCGCTGACCGCTATGATCGACCACTCTGAGAGCCAAAACATAAGAAGAATGAGACGTTCAATCACTCGCCTGCAACTTGCAATTCCAGCTGCTGGCATATTTTGGGCTCGCTAGAGGGTTCGTGTTTGGACCACAAGACATGTCGGAGCTGGAAACGAGGAAGCATGAGATTGTAAGATACAAAGGGTTCTAATGAAAGTAGCTTCCTAAGGTGCTGCGAAGGTTCCAGAACCATGGCAGGCTTAAGGCAGATAGACTTACGAGCTACCTGCCTCGCCATTCGAGCATGAATGCTTGTTGTTCGGAGTTGTGGGAAATGTAGAAGGTACCTATCGAGGACGAGAGGATTGGCCAGGTGAGCAGCATCAATACTGATCTCAATACAAGACAGAAACGATCTGACTCTAATCCTATTTCGAAGGAGCACTTCGCGTTTAGTTCTCAGCCTTCGAGACGATCTGGAAATTTTCACACTACTAGGCTTGCTCTCAAGATCAAACCATTTATACTTGAGGTATGTAAGATACAACAACTTAACTAAGCCCTGTTACATACAGCCTTGACTCCAGCGCCATCATCCATGTCAGTATCAGTGCAGCTCCCTCCCTCCCTCGAACAAATCCCCACATTCCCCCCTCTCTCTCTCAAAAAAAAAAAAATCAATCAAAAATTTCCACCCCAACCCTACTCACTCACTCAATTCCATGCCCCCCCTCCCCCTTCCTCAAAACATCAGGTCTATGCCCAATATTGACCCCCATTTGATACAAATTATTCAACAAATCCTGCGCGGTAATCACCTGGGAAATCCTGCCCGAACAATCGTCGAAGATCAAAATATCCGTTCCGTTGTAAGAAATGAAATCGCCTTGTTTTAAAACCCTAGGCAAAAGAAAGCAAAAAAAAAATTAGAAATCATCAGCACCAAAAAAAAAAAAAAACCAAAAAACCACAAAACTCGGCCTCGTGAAAACTCGGCCTCGCATACACTTACGGACTACTACTCTTCGCCCCCACAGTAGCATTCAGCGTCCAGCGTGTAACCAACTTGCCTCCCCCCGGCTCGACGAAATGAAATTGCTGCACAAAGCCATAACGATCGAATCCCTCGCGTGTTCTCTCGATGAACGCTCGTAAAGTGGAGGCGTTGGTGATGGGGATGAATTGGGTATCCCAAGGTTCAGAAATTTGGGAGTTGAAAGGGATGGGGATGCGGTCTGTGTAGAAGGCGACGTTGGGGAGCACGGTTTCGTTCCAGGCCGTCCAGTTGCCTCTCCAGGCTTGGCCCCAGTTGAAAAGGACGTTGGGGATGGAGTGGCGGGTGGTGGTTGTGTAGGTGCAGGAGGGGTCCAGGGCGTTGGTGAGGGTGGCGGCGAAGGCGAAGGCTAGGGTGAGGAGGGACATGATGATGGGAGAAGTGTGCGATTTTGCGATTTTGTTGCAGTGTAGACATGAGGTTTTATGTGGAAAGTTTTGTGTTGGTCTTGGCGTGTGGTTTGGGGAGGCTCAGCCTGATTTCTTGAGACCCGAAGTTTAAGCCCGGCGACTTCCTTGCCCCCACGTGGGTGAAACGGCGAGACTAAAGACTGGGCGTCCGACCGGGTATCTGGGCAACTTGTACTCAAAGGACTTTATTGTGATGATTTGCGGACAATTGGGAATTCCCCAGGAAAACGAGCGCAACGGCCAGTAGTAGCGGACTCCAGCCAAGGCATCGCGAAACAATGGCGCCTTGGTGATAGCAAAACTTCCCAGTCCAGTCTCCTTGGCTGCGCAATATTGCTCCTGGTTGTAGGATGGAAAACTTCCATCGCGACGCGGCATCCCCTGAAAAACCTCCTACCTGCTCAGCGTTCGTCGGGTATCTGGTGGAGTTCTTATACAGAATACGTCCGTGCTACCTTGTACAAAGCAGATTCAACCAACCAGGTCGCTTAGTTCTTATACAGCGGTTCGTCGGACTTAACCATGGAATTCGTTTAGGGGATAGTCATCTCGCGCAGCAACAGACAAGAGGCTAAGAATGACATCAGCATCTCTACATTTGGTTCCGCTTACCGTTGAGATTCGAGGTCCATTCGACGACGCTGAGGAGTCCGAATCAAGCAATGAAACTGGGTATGAAGACGATGTTGACTATGTTGTGGTCGTATACAAGTCGTTAGGGGCCATATGCACAAGGTGGTGGCCTGCTCTCCTCGAATCAATGTCACTGCCAACCAACCCCCAGAAACCTTACGCCACAAATCCCTTGATTTTACAAATAACAAGCGTTGAAATGCATCGATCTGCAATCAGAGCTGGGTATCATCCGTTCTCGCACAAGCAATGGATGCAAAGGTAAGTAATGCTCATGTTCAAGATGTTCAAAGCACTGTCGAACTCAACGTTCCTCGAGCCTCTGAGCGGCGAGAGTCCGGTTCTCCATCATGGCCGCCACACCACTGCTAGTCGAGCTCGCACTTTCGCTTCTCGCGAACGTAACTCTTCTCGGGGTCAAGTCTGTCTTGGTTGGCGACGCCTGGCCTTGGCTGGAGGTTGTCGCCGTTTGGCTACGAGGCATCTGCGAGGTGTGCGGCGAGCCAAGCTGGAGCAGCGATTGTAAAGCTTCCCTTTCGGCCTCGGCAGTTTGAGTCTCCGTTCGAATAGTCGCTGGGCGTCGTGGTTGGACGACACTGAGGGGAGTATGTGGAGGTGACATACCAGATCCTCTGTAAGAATGAGGGACGGCCTTACCGAGTCCGGGGTGATATATAGCTCCAGAGCTGGACGTAGGTCGGATATCTGGTGCGGGTTGAAGGCGTGGAGCGGGTCCTAATGATGTCTGTATCGATTGGGAAAGCGGAAGCAGATGTGAATAATTAGCAGAGTGTCGTTTCGAGGGCGGTTGCTCTATCTCGAGATTGCCTCTGCCGTAGTTGTTGTCGTACATGGAAAGGCCTGCAGTACCATTGCTGAGACCGCTGGTGCCTGGCCGGGGCTGATCGAGAGAGGGCATGCTGTATCGATTAATTCCCGCTTTCTCTGCAGCGAGCTGCTCTACTTCCTGCAGCGACTTGTGCTCCCAGCCGTGCTGTACTTTGGCCATTGCATAGCCGAGTCGTGCTTTGAGGTTGGCGGCCATTTCCCCAGCGCGACTACTGGTTGATGATACGGATTCTCTTCGCGATCCAGATCCTTGGATCATAGCAGTGTATGGGGTGCTGGAAAGGCTGGGGGTATTTTTGACGTGTCCGCTGGCTGTTCTCTTCGCGCCATTCGTCACAGCTGGTGACGTTATGCTCATGGGACTTGCTAACGCGATATCAACCATGTTTCGCGTGCCATCCTCAGGCGTTCCGTCGCGACTGATATGTGACTTGTCCCACGTGTTTGACGGTGCCGCGTCCTCTCCAGAATCAATTGTATGCTTGAACGGTTCGCCGGAAGACGGAGATGTTAAGTCGGTGTAGTTGGTGAGTTGCGACAGGTTGCCCTCGCTCCCCTGCAAGTGTGGTGCTCTACTGCTTCCAACACTACTCTGTACACTGATGATGGATTCCTGGCTTGCAGGTGCCTCGAATGATTGCGCCGTGGAATACGGGATGTCGGCGGGCGTGTGGTTGTGCGCTGTACGCGTCGCTTTTGACGTGGGGTTCGTCATGCGCGATGATGATGCATCCGGGAAACGCGAAGGCTGCGATGTATGCGGTATACTGGCGTAGTTGGCGGTCATGGTCTCCATGTCTGTGGCGCTCCAGATGCGGGCAGAGACCACTATGCCGGGCCGGGCAGGCGTCGTGGTGTATGTGGTGGGAGTGGAAGAAGCGACGATGGCTGGTGGTTCTCGGTGTCGTCGCAAGCGGCTGTTCGTCAACCTTGCTGGCGGGCGCAAGACGCGCTCCAGGATGGCACGGCACCTGCAGGATGATTGTCACCGACGAGGCAACGACGATGCCTGGAAAGGGGATTCGGAGCAAGCGTCAAGCAAAGTCTCCTCGATAGTTGGTCATATTCTACAGCACACGCTCGCGTTGTTGTGCGGCAGAATCGCTCAATAATAATGCCACGCCATATTCAAAGAGTCCGAGAGCGGACTCGAGTCGAGGGAGGCGCGCCCCACTCTGGCGCGAGGACACATGATCCACGCACGGAAGGCGCGCGTGCTCGTGCTCGTGCTGTTTCTGCTTCGGTGCACGAGCACATTTGCCATGACAATTCAGTCTTTCTCTCATCATCATTTAATTGTGAATTCCATGAATCTGATCGACGAAGCATGTCTGCTACTTCTATCACGTTGCGTCCATGAACGGTGCAGTGCATGTCTCTTGGCCGAGACGGCTCGTCCATCCACCCGGCATCCTGGCCAGCATTGAAATATGAGTCTTTCCGTTTTCGTGTTCGAGAGTCGTCCTGTCACTCCTGTGCATGGTATCAGTAGTCGTCAACAGACTCCCAGCCGATGCCATGCTTCTCCAGCCGTTCACAGTGAAGAGAGGCCTCGTTCTATTCTCGTTCTGCAGCACACATGGCAGAACCCTGTGCCACTTCGAGGGCCCAGAGCCTCCAAACACGCTTGACTCACTCATCGACATAGCAACTGCGCCATCGCCGTCGAGTCTCACGTACGCGTAGCCACCACCACGCCTACACATCAATGCTTCAACGGTAACACTCGAGATTATGCTCAGCCGAAGTGCTGTAGCAATTCCCACCCGGAGCAGCACCACCAATAATGCCGTCAGCCGCATTCGCCGCGCGTGCCCAACAGGCACGCGACACATCCAGACAGCCACGGTAACGGATCGAGACATCGCCAGACTGGCCGCAAAGCCTTTGCACCCCCTCACCCTCGCCGACTTGTGCAAACATGGCCGACCACCGCTTAGCGAAGACGCGCTGCTCAACAGTGCAAACTTCACCCTCGATATCCTGCCTTCTCGCCTGGCACACCGCATACAAAGCTTGAGGTCTCTGCCATACATCGTCATCGCCAATCCGCATGTATCCAAGATACACAGCAATTACGTGCATTCCTTGTCGACTTTATTGCCCTACGCAGAAAGGAGGATCGAGAGCATAGATGATGAAATCACTTTCACCGAGGTCATGGCAGACCTGGTCCAGACTCACCACAATACCATTGCTATTCTGGCAAGAGGCTTTCTCGAGGCCAGGAAGTATATTGGCAAGACGGACATCACGCGTTTCCTGGACGAGCATTTGCGCGCCCGCATCGGCACACGTCTGATCGCAGAACAACACATCGCCTTGCACTTCAGCAGCCAGCCGCATGCCGAGCTTTCGTCTGAGCCCGCGCCAGATTTCAGCGATTCATCTTATATTGGCCTCATTGATACTGCTATGAAGCCGGCAGACATTGTTCGCTCGTGCGAGCACACTGTGGGAGAAATCTGTGAGCTCAAGTACGGCGTCCGGCCATCGGTCAACATCATTGGAAGCCCTGAGACCGCCATTGCACACATTCCCATGCACGTTGAGTATATCTTGACAGAGTTGCTCAAAAATAGCTTCAGAGCCACGATTGAGGCCAACACTGAGAAGGAGCCCATCGAGGTTACCATCGCCCCAGCTCCAGCTCCAGCATCCGAGCATCAGACTGCGCATGCAAAATCAAAGACGCACACAGAGATTAGCGAAGTCAAAAGCATGCCTGGCGGTGTGATCAGCAACTACCATCAGGGCAGTGTGGATCACGCTTCGGGCTCAAATGGTCCTGAAAGTGCTCATTCGGCAAACATCCGACCGCTCGACAATGCGACTCCTGGCGTAACAATCAGAATTCGCGATCGTGGTGGTGGCATCAGTCCTGAGAACGAAGCAAAGCTGTGGGAATATGGCTTTACGACATTCAACGAGGATGAAATCATGAACAAGGTGAGCGGAGGCTCAGCAGGGATGGATGCGCTCGACACGATCAGTGGCGGTGCAGCCGGCGGAAGCAGTCTGGCTGGTCTTGGCTATGGACTGCCGCTCGGTCGAGCGTACGCTGAATACTTTGGTGGTGGCATAGCAGTACAGAGTCTGTGGGGATGGGGAACAGATGTCTACCTGTCTCTTAGAGGTGTGGGCAAAATCAAATGAACTTGAACACGCGACGGAGGGTCATATAGCAGGAACAAACAGATATTCAGGGCCTCAATGATTCCCTCGCTGGCACTGATTCCGCTGCGTGCAGAGCATGACCTGATGCATGCTCCAAGTTTGCTTGCCTTCACGACCATGAGACTAGTAGACAATATGTTGATGTGCTGGCAGGTCATTCGCAGTGTCTGTTCCATTGCCTATAAGTAAATGCCTCCTCGTCCACCTATTGCATCTCTCCTGGAGCAACACAATCGACACGATCAAGTATTGCTGGGCACCAAAGCAAGTCTAGTCGATCAACAACTCATCATAAGGGACACGTACTGTGCCACCCATTCGACAATCAGGCTTCCAGAACCATTGAGCGACATCAGAGCGAGTCTTCTTGACTGCCGCACCACATCAACCGTGCTACCCATTCGACCATCAGGCTTTCAGAACCATTGAGCCACATCAAAGCGAGTCATCTCCACCACCAACTCCACACCAGTACCACTCAACCGTCCCACCCCATCGACAACCATGCTCTCACCCACCCTCCACCTCCTCCTCCTCCTCACCCTCTTCACCCTCCTCACCCCCACCCTCTCCACAAAACAAATCTGCTTCTTCCAGCACGGCAACAACAACTGCGAAAAATCCCTCACCCACTACTGCTGCCCCTTCACACCCACCTCCGGCCAATGCTGCACCAACCCTCGGGGTCCCACTTACTGCTACCACATAGGAATTTTCGACCTCGGGCGCCTCGAAATGGCACATTTCTACAATAAAGAGCAATGCTCTGGTGGGCTGTTCGACGAGGCGCGTCCGGTGGGGAATGGTGGAAGGGTTTGTACCGAGGAGTTTTCGACGTATCCGGAGAATGCTAGGTTTACGGATCCGAATACGTGGAAGTGTAGTGCTATGTGGACTCGGGGGAGGGATGATGCTGCGTGGAGGGAGCCGGAGGGCGGCGAGGAAGGGAGGGGGGGAGGGGGGGAGAAGGTAGACCTCCGACTCCGCCGCCGGGGTATTATGATGATCCGAGGGTTCCGAGGCCGTATGGGATGTTGCAGCCGGCTTGGGAGGCTAGGCCTGCGGGGCGGAATGGTACTGTGGGTAGGAGGCCTGGGGCGATGGTGAGGAAGAGGGGACATGGAAATCCTCCGCCTGTTCCGACGAGTTGTAGTCTTCCGACCATCGCTGGGTTTAGGGATGATAAGGGGAGGCAGAGGGAGATTGTTTTTCGGGAGGATCAGTATGATGATGTGGTGGAGTTGTTGAATAAGGAGGATTGGAAGGGTTTGGAGAAGTATCCCGATAGTGGGAACCCGGTGCCCGGGTCGCCGGAGTATGAAAGGGAGGAGAGGGAGAGGATGGTGAGGGCGGAGAAGGAGTGGAAGGAGGATGAGGAGGCGGAGAAGGCGGAGAAGGCTGCGGCTCAGAAGGTGGCTAAGTTGTAGTCGTTTCTGCAAGCATGATTTAGCGGCTGTGGTTTTTGGGGCCAGATTGACAGATTTTGGATTTTGGGAGATTGTTCGATACCAGACTGACTATGTTGGATTTTGGGAGATTGTTTGATACCAGACTGACCATGCTGGAGTTTCGGAGTTCGTTTGATACCATTATGCAGGCACACGTTGCCACTGTCTTTTGTTTGTGAAAGTGTTTCCCTCCCACTCTCATTGTCGCTTCTCATTCATCGTACATGACTTGCCCGTGCGGAGATCTTCCGCCACTCTACAAGCAGATAATGCTTGGAGCAGCTACGAGACGTCCATTTCGTCAGCGCCTTGTCCCTTTCTCTGCCGATCATCCACGCGCTTTTTAGTTGCTGCCTTTGCATCCTCGATCCACTTATCATAGCTGCCGTCCTTCACCTTCTGCGCTGTGACACCCTTCATGACCTCTCCGATGAAGCCGACGAAGTTGTGTCTCCGCAGTGCGTTCTCCCATTGCCAGTCTCTTCGCTTCTGCTCTTCTCGTGCTAGCCATTCCGAGTCGCCCACTTCTCTTGCCCTCGACCTCAAGTCCTCGCACATGGCTAGAAGGTTGAATCTGATCTCGGTCTGTGGGTAGCGTTCGATTCGTCGTTGGAGGACTGGAATGACGGCATCTGCAAAGATTTCCGGAGGACAAGCGCCGGCATCGCCGTGTCGTATTGGGGCTGGCTGTAATCCGTCGAGCTCGTAGAGAGTGCTATTGATGCTTGTATAAGCAATAAAGTGGTAGACGTCGTCATCTGCAGTCGCCATGCGAGTCTCATCTGATACAAAGGGCGAGGAGCGGGCGAATGAGTTGTGTGTCTCGCGGATCAGGTCTGAATTCGAGAGCGCCTCGCCACGCAGGTCTGGTGGGAAAGCGGATGTGAATTCCTTGAAGTCCTTCAAGTTTGGACCAATCTCTACGCCACCGTCTTCTGACGAACCATCCTTGTTGAGCAGCACACTAAGGAGTGCTTGAGTTCCGCATGCATTCTGGATCGTCTGTGCTGCAAACCATACCGGGCCGCCTTCATCTGACTGTCCTTCTAATGCTGCGTAGTCGAACTCGCCATCAAGTGGTGCATCTCGCTTCGGCTTCTCGTCGGTGGGGTATTTGAACAGGAAGATGACTCCGATCGGGTTCAGTTGCTGTAATGAGTCTGCATCTAGCGATATGAGCTCCTCGAATTGCACTTTCTTGACGCCCAGCGACTCGATCAGATATGTGAAGACGCCCTTGGAAAAGTATCAGTAAATGTTCATCAATGTTGGCGATGCTGGACGGACCCACGGCGTCGCTCTCAATCGTGTTCCACCCGCCAGACATGTCTCCTTCTGTGTCTGCTTCGATGTCTTTGCTCCCAGTCAAGTCGCGTGTTGATCGTCGGTGTCAAGCAGAGCCGCATCAAAGAGCTCGGGCCACCTTTGCGTCACACTTGCATCCGTTTCCAGACGAGGCAAGCATCACAAGCTCCTGCCAACTTTGCGCTCTTCCTCCCATCTTCTGACCAGTTTCTTCATTGCTCGCATACCAGTACGCACTCTCACCAACAACATCACCTCTTGGATCATACTTCGCTTCAGGCATTGACTCAGTCCGCCAGTGTCTTCAGATTTCCAGCTTGAATTTCTCCAGCGACCCAATAGCGAAACAGACAGTATTATGGCTTCTTACGCAGAAATCGCGGCCAAGGGCCCAAAGCAGAGCGATGAGGAGGTATGTATGCCGGGTCACCATCTGTCATGGTCATACTGACAGTATGTACAGAAGTAAGGAACGACCAAGGATCGCGGCACCAAGAATGACTAACCGGATGCAAAAGGATTCCAGACGCAGTGCCAGAGATAATGCACGAAGATAGCGGTGTTCACTCGGTAGGTGCTGATTTCACGGTGCGCGATCCACTCTAACAAAAATGACAGCTCGAGTCTCTCAACTCTGTCAACGATCACGTTCAGTCTCTGCCTTCCACAACTAGCTACGCCGATCAACAGCTGGCCGAAGAACGCGCCGAGGAGGCACGAAGGGAAGCAGAGCAAAAGGCAGATCAAGCAGCGAAGGAGGCACACGACTTCATGCACCGGGCTGAGGCAAGCGCAAAGCAGCTCGGAAAGGACTTCAAGTCAGAATCCAAGACATTCAGCCAGAAGAGCGAGAAGAAGTACGAACAGGTCAAGGGCAAGGCAAAGGAGGAATGGCAGCAGGCGAAGAAGGACGGCAAGAAGGCCGAAGACTGGGCTGAGAAGAACAAGAACAACCCAGTCGTGGTAGGCAATGCTGTGGTTATCGCTGCTCTTGGTGCTCTTCTTGGAACTGGCGCATACAGAATGCACAAATCCAACACCCTGACATGGAACGTCGTTGGTGCTTGGGCGGGTGCAGTCGGTCTCTTTGCAGTGGGCGATTACTATGTCTCGCAGTAAGTTTCCTTTGCTCCGACGTCACACGGGTAAGCTCTCACAGTGAATCCCTGCTAACCTTATTAACGCACAGATACTTCTTCAAGAAGTACCCACCAAAGAACTAATGGGTGGTGCTTGACGGCTAAGACTGGATACGATGGATGAGAGCTAAGGAGGATAATGTTGTCTTACTGATACAATGCATCTCGACTGTACGGCGCTTGGAATATGCGTCGGTGATGTAGCTGCGTAGCCGGGCGTTCTTGCGGCTCCGAAGCGGTCTTGTATACTATGCCACTTCTTTTTGAATCGAAAATGTTTCCGATCTCAGCCAACATCACTAGTGGCAGTGGTAAGTTGCTTGTGGGCTCATGAGGACTGACTACGAATTTCTTCAAAATGCAGGAAGTCCTCTTCATTCACAAGTTAGATCATTACCAGCATGGCGCTGAGAGCCTTCTTCCCACGATCGATATCAGCGTCTGGTCATGACTCCCGACATCTTTGCTACAGCCGGGATTCCCACGTCGTTCTCGTCGCTGGAATTGGAACTGCGGCCGTTCTCAACACCTGTATGCTGGCAACTCAACTTGATACAAGAATTCTCCTGGCGAACCCAGCGTGCCTTAGTGACTGAAAGATGCGTCGAAGCTCAGGTCGACACCGCACTGTGGTGCTCATTGTTACACCGAGACTCAAGATGTGATTCGGTTGCGCGGGATAGCTTTGGGCACCCAGAGCATCGAGAAAGGAGGAAGATCACTTGACGCTGTCAAGTAGGTGCACTGAACCGGACTGGTGGCCAGGAGTTTCAAGGGATGTCGCCCAGTGACCTGACAAAAGTCCGTTACGAAGTGCACAAGGTCATCCACTCTTCTCCTGTCCTCGTATAGAGACAAAGAGTCCAGTATGCAGTATACGGCTGTCTCTTGCAGCTGCATAGCTAGGCAGCCGAAGAACAGAGCGGTCACGGTGTCGAAACTGTCTGCGATATTGTTTGAATCGAGAACCTGGCACAGATTGGGCAATTTCGTTGCAACGACGTGCTTCAGACCTTGATGCAAGAGCTGACCGAGCAAATCGACGACCATGGTCTTGGGATCTTCGCGGTGGTGCTGGCCGCAGAACCAATACAGGCTGACGCCTGTGGCTCGCTCGTTCAAGGAACTCAGCAGTAATGAAGAGAAGAACGATACCGTGGAATTGGTCACGTCAGCCCGACCCTCTCGCGCATTCACCACGAGACGCTGGTCGGTATCGTCCTCTATCCATTTGGTGACTTCAGCTGAACTCAGGATGAAAGCTGTGCGGCTCTCAACATCCGAGGACATGGAGCGCCCAATGCGAAGACATTGTGCCAGATCTGTGATTGCAAGTTCGGCATCCCACTCTATTGCCAGTGAGAGCATATCTGGAGCGTCATCAGCAAAAATGGAAAGTTTCCTCGTCAAAGTGTGGCGTCGTGCCAGGAAACTTCTGACCTTTCCACATGTCCGTCACTTGTTCATTCATTCTTCGCGTCGCCTCATTCTTGACGCGACGTTTTTCTCGTTCGGCTTTCAGTCGCCTGTCCTGTCTGTGTCGCTTGGTGGCATCGCGAAGAAGGGACTTCATCGAATTCATCACCTCCGCTCCTTGCGTCTTGGTCTCTATCAACTCCAGAGAGACTAGCTAAGTCAGTCCGTGGCCTCAAGATGGGAGCAATACGACTCACGCTCATCAACCCGTTTCAGGAGCTGGTCATTTTTCTCGATGACTTCGGCATGCGCTGAACTTCGTCAGTTGGCTTACTATGGTGTGTCTGGAGACCATACCTGTATCATCCCTGTCTGACTTTGCTTTGAAGCTGGCGTGCAGCTCATTCATGGCTATCCTGTCCATTGTGGCCCACAGAGTCTGGAAGTCCTTCACCGATTCGGACAGGTATTTGCCATAGTCCTTGCCTTTGAAGGCCGCGCGAATGAATTTCTTCGCAGGATGCTGCATGAAGTATTCAAGAGCCTGTTGCATGCACTCCATGGTTGCCAGGACCAGCCTTCCAGAATATTTGTCCAACTGTTTAGTTGCATACACCATCTTGAGATGCAGTGCAGTTTGGATTGCGATCGGAACTTGTTCGACCATATCGTTGATCTCCTCGCGAACATCATCGAGCTGCGCAGCTACCTGGTACGAGCGTCGGGTCAGCGTCAGCAATGACAACGGCCGCACCAACATACACCAACGACGACCTTCAGTCCCCCACATAGCAAGGAGCCTTGCCATGACTCTGTCGGCAACAATCTGATCCAGCTCTCAACAGGACCTTTCAAATCACGGCATTTCCGCAGATAATGCCGCAGCTTCCCGCGGAAGCCTTTGCTTTCCAAGGTCTGATATCGCGTCAAAGCGCTCTCTAGAGTATTTATCACATCTTCCCAGGAATGCTTCTCTTCATTCTTCAGATATACCCCGCTGTCCTTGCCGTCAATTGATCGAGACTTTACGTTCCACTCTGTGAGGGTCTCCAGAAATTTGATTTTCCCACGCTTCAGATCTTCAGTATCTTCTATGTCAATACTGGTATCAGGATCCTGGATGAATCGGTCTTTGAGCGGCTGATAATAGGGCTTGATGTTCTTGAAGCCCGGGTCCACGCTCGGAAGGTGGATCTCGATAAAGCTGACCTCTTCGGTAACCACTTGCAGCTCTGGCTTTGACTTAGAAGTTGCTGAGACCGCCATTGAAGAAGTCGTAGCACCCTTCTCACAAAAGTTGATGCCGCGGAGCCCAGGAAGAAGACCAAGCTGTACATACACAGCGAGTACGTTTACTGTATTGCAAGAGGTGCGAGGGCATACGGCACAGCAGAATCTAGATCATACTGCGGCACGGCACAGCATGCAAGCCTCATGAAAAGTAAGGCTCCGACCTGCCTTATAGAGATGCGCTAACGTAATGCCAAGGCCAGCTGATAACATTCAGAGGCTGCCTTGTTTGCCTTCTGCACTCGCCAATATTCCCAGCTTCGCCTGTTTCGGCCACCTACTCAGCCTTATGGTGTCTCGATATGCACCCTCATTGGCCAGACCGTACATTCTCCCTGGCAAGAGCTTTAGCGAAGCACATCTCGAGGCAGACTTGCTACCAGGGCGTGTGCGCGGCACCAATCCAGAATGATGGGGCCAATAGTTCTGCGGACTCGGAAACCTGCTTGCTGCGGCCTCTGTTGCGCGGCTACACATCTGAGAACCAATCACGAGCTACTTGATTCGAGCTTCAGCCGTTCCGTGAGAGGCTGAGATTACAGTACTGGCCTTTCAAAAGGCTTGTGGAACTACTCTCTTGACTTTACTTTCATTCCAGCGACCTTCGCCATGAGTTCGACGTCTTCGGAAGATAGTGCTGTATCGGCCGGCTCGTCCAACGCAACGGACAGCACATTGACCGGAGCAACGACCACAAACAGTGTAGAGGATGAGGCAGAGAAGCATCCATTCCCTATCACTGCCGGTGACCAGACTTCACATCACCACAATGAAAGCAGAGAGACCCACGCTCAGAATTTCGAAGGCTCGAAGAACGAGAATAGAGACGGTACCAATGCCACCCCCTCCACCAACGCCGCCAACGCCGACCCTGATGCCGCGCAAGGTCGTCTCTTAGATCCTGAGGATGAGAATGAAGACATGTACGAGCTCAAAGCCAGTCTCAAGGAGAACATATACTGGGGAATCACATCAAAAGCGCTCGAGGACGGACAGAAGGATTCACAGAAGCGCAGCAGGCAGACCCTTTCCTACTTTGTCCTTGTTGAAGCCCGCATCAAGGAATTAGAAGAACAAGTTACATCTTTGAGAAAGCTCTCTGCTGGTGCAGCTGATGCGACATCATCGAATGATGCCACTACATCTCACGCTACCCAAGATGATGGTGAAGCGAAAACCGATGGAAAAAGCTGGAGTATTGAACCAAGCTGGAGGTCACTTGTGGATTTCATCGAATGCCCTGTTACCAAGGGTGCCGTGCCTTTCATGGAGATTCTTGCAGAGCCAATGGCTGAATTGCCTGGACGTAGTACGGACAGCATTTTCGAATCTGCCAGAGCTACACGCCATCAAGATAATGTCGCGGAGAAGTCCGATCAGCAGGACCCCATTTCGAAAAGTGTACATCGCATCCGTATCAACTCTTCGTTCATTATCGAGGCCTTAGAAAGAATCATGGGCAAAGAGTGGGCACCAAGAGCCACGGAGACCCACATTAGGCCATTCAAAGTGCTGCTCGCATATGAAGACGACCTTCGAAAGGAATTGCTCAACATGGACGAGAAGCTGGCCGAACATGTTGCACCAGATTCTGGACTTTCAAATCGTGTCAATTCGACCGAAATGACCGGCGCAATAGCGAGTGATGCTAGGTGTGGCGAAAGTGACACAATGGCAGAAGACTCTACACGTGAAGGAATGTTGGAAGGCTCAAAGCACATCAGGGCTTTGCTGCAATTTATGGACACGTTCTTGCATAAGGAAATTTGCGTTTACAAACAATTCCGCTCCAGGAAAACAGCAGATGGTAGCATCGCGAGAGTCAGTTTTGACGACCTGTGGAAACTGTTTGCCCCCGGCGATACAATCTATGACCCATCTTCTCATCAGGCATCGAAGGTGGTCAAGGTGCGAGGGGGGCGACCTGCACTTCGCAACGAACCGCCTTCGGCACTCGATTATAACAAGGACAAGGATAAGGCTCATTCTGGGCAGGACACTACACCCTCCAAATTTGTGGTAGACTGCTTCAATCTTGCTTTCGATGGACTGGAAGTTGGACCTATGCAAGCTGAACATGTCATACGACCATTCGAGGGCATGAAACCAGTAACGTCTTTACCTGTGTACCCCATTGAATATGCCTTGGAATTGGGCAACGATAAAGACTTGACTGGAGTTGTGGACCTCGTCAAAACACCTTCCAATCTGGTTGAAGAGCTCACTAGACGCGGTCAAGAATACTCGAAGCTCGTCGAACCAACCAAAATCATACACAAGGACTACGAAGGGATGAGTCTAGACTCCTCCCCAGAGCATGTAAGCAGTAGGAACTATGTTCGGAAGTCCTGTATGTGCTGACCTGTGGCGCAGATTGACAGTGAAGTAATTATCGACCTCGACAAGTTTTACCAGCTTGCGTCGGATTCGTACGAGAAGCCTCAACTCGGCTTACTGGATTCCCAAGATGCTGACTTTCGTGAGACCACCGAAACATGTCGACAGCGTTGTAAATGCTCCGATAAAGTCTGCCCACTTGTGGTGGAGAGCAGTACAGTTCTCTATGATGACCGTCTCGTCGACGGTCAACTGGAGGAGAAATTCCATTCTGATTCCAAAGATATCAAACGCTGGCGCTACTCCAATCAACAACAGCTCAAAGAACAGTATGGTGTCTTATTTCCAAGGGAGATATATGGGTTCGTGCTAAAGAATCGCAAATGGCGTAAGTCGATAGTGACGACGGCGCAGAACACATATTTGATATTGATAACTCGCAGACGCACTCGACATCGATAAGATCGAGGACACCAAGAAGTCACAAGAGCCCTTCAACAGCTTGGTCTTGCCTGAAGACTACAAGGAGATCGTGCGAAGTCTAGTGGAAGAGCACGGGCCTGAGGTCTACGACAAGAAGCAGACTGAAAGCAATCGTACACGAGAAGATCTTGTCCGAGGTAAGGGCAAAGGCTTGGTTATCCTTCTTCATGGTGTACCAGGCGTTGGTAAGACCAGTACAGCGGAGTGCGTCGCAGAATACACCGGACGACCATTATACGCACTGACGTGTGGTAAGCATCTTCAACCAAGTCGTCTCACATGTACTCTAACGTCGCTTGCCAGGTGATATCGGGAAAACGCCCAGAGAAGTACAGGACAGTCTCTCTGAAGCCTTCAGCCTTGCATACCGTTGGAATTGCGTCATGCTCCTCGACGAAGCTGATGTATTCCTTGCTGCACGTGATGGCACCGATTTGAAGCGCAACGCGGTAGTCTCGGTGTTCTTGAGATCACTCGAATACTACAGTGGAATTCTGTTCTTAACGTAAGTTCAGGGTAGCCAGGGCCTTTCGGAAGTCTTTCTAATGCCATCGAAGGACGAACAAAGTGGGTTTCTTCGATGAAGCCTTCAAGAGTCGCATTCACATGATGCTGTATTACAAAGAACTTAACAAGCTGCAGACCGAAGAAATCTGGAAAGTCAACCTCAATCGTCTCCGAGAGAACAAACCAACGCTCAATTTCGATGTGAACGTTTTGCTCAAGTGGGTACGAAAAGCCTACCGCGCGATGGAGAAGGATGACAACCGACGCCCATGGAACGGAAGACAGGTAAGAATGGACTTATCATTTGAAGGAACGTAACCAACAATTGCCCCAGATTCACAACGCTGTGCGGACAGCGGCAGCGCTGGCGGCTTTCCAGAAAAAGAACACATTGACGGTGGAGCACTTGAAGCAAGTCGAGAAGGCCAGCGAAGAGTTCGACAAGTATCTCTTCGACACACACGGCACGGACGATATTGGAAGAGCGGAGAGAAATATGGAGCGGGCTGATGACAAGTTCGCGAAACTGTTTCATGACAAGTCGGCTAAATCGACGCCCAGAAAGTCGTCCGCGAAGAAAGACGACAAGAAGACGCCTCGCTCCAAGATGAAGAGGCGAAATCCGTCCCCTCCACCGACAAGCGACGAAGAAAGTGATGGCGGCAGTGACGAGGACGGCAAGAAATCTAAGCGCGACAAATCTGAGTCAGGATCGGACTCTGACTCGGACTCGGACACTTGATGAAGCTGCTGATGAATATGATGGATGCACTGCGGCATATTTGTAGAGTCAAGATGGCTGTGGACGCGAAGAGTTTTTTATTTTTGTCGTCACGGCGGCTAATGCGGACATCAACGTGAAGGATTCGAGATGTTGACCATTGACGAGAATTTTGGAGGGTGAGACTCGTGGATCGCATCGCTGTTGGAGAGAGGTGAAGTATATAATTGCCCGATTCGGAGCTTCAACAGCTCTATCTACTTGGATACTTCTTATCAGCATGCATCTCCGCAGATAGGCAGAGAGAGAGAGAGAGAGAGAGAGAGAGAGAGAGAGAGAGAGAGAGAGAGAGAGAGAGAGAGAGAGAGAGAGAGAGCCATCAGCAAAGAATTCGGCCTATCATATCGAAAACTGCGTCGAGAGTGCATAACAAATTTGAACGAAGTGTGCAATTAGCAGAATGGTGCCATCTCTGAATAATGAGCTGTTACCGAGAAGCCCATCCACGCGCACTGCCAAGCTCCAGTGAGTAGTCTTGGTCGTGCTCAGGATCACCTCTTTCTCTCACTGAGACTGGCCGGCTGTGTTTGAAATGTCGGCGCTCCCTTTAGCAACTCTGCTGTAGGATGGTGAAATACGCACCTCGGGGCAGCGTGGATGGGAGTTCGTAGCGAATTCTGAGTCGTTCATCCGCGTACAAGGAATCGTTTCACACAACACAGGCCCAGCCAAAGCTGCCGTCGAACTGCCATGGCCCTCGAATATCGGACAGACTTGGAATCTCATCTGGCGCATAGTATCGCAACAACTTCTCCATATCCTCCTCTTCCATGTCGCATAGATCTTCCAGTGTCCACTTGACGCACACCTTGCTCATCCATTGCATTCTCTTTGGACCTTCCTCAGGCAGTGGTGCGACTTCTCTCAACTTCCGTCGCAGCTGGCCGACCTTTTTGATCGCATCGCCCATGTTCGGTGGCAGACTGCCGGCTATCCTTCTCCTCACAAGATTGGCCATTTTCGGGCCATTGCCGTTTGTGCTGACCATGATTTGAAGTGGGCCATCGCGGTGGACACTGCCAAAGTAGAAATCGCATTCGGGAGGCACGTCTGCGATGTTGGCAGGCAGTCTCTTTTCTTTGCATAATCTCCATATGCGCGAACTTGCTTGCGGATCATCAATGGCCGTCATGACCATGGTAATGTCCTTGTCATGCAGGTCCGAAGGCTCGAAGAGCCTGTCATGGTATTCCACCTGCTGCTGTTCGATGCGATATGCGACTTCTGGATGGAGGCCGTCTCTCGGCGATACGACTACGACTCGAGCATCGGCATTGAGGAGATTCAGGATGCGGCCGGCCGCTACCTATCAATATCAGCACTTCGGCATGGACGCATCCAGTGGGAGAACAATGTCGCTCACCTCGCCGCCGCCAACGACCAGGACTTTTTTATTCCGCACTTGCCATGCCAGAATCAGCGATCCGCCGCCTTGGATCTCCGGGAACTCTTCTGCCATGATGAATACTGCAGAGACATGGAAGCGCAGAAAGCACCGGATATGCACTGGCGCATGTGAAGGCACGCCAAGACTTTGGTGATGACGTAAAACTACTCAGAATACAGTACATGTTATCACGCACAGCGCAGTGGATTACTTACGTAATACTGCATTGCCGGCGGTTGAATTGGCTTCGTTGATTGCCTATGTTCTATCTCTTCTATAGTCTAAAATATAGTGTAGAAAATTCTTCAAGCTAAGAAGTTACGTACCTATTATATAACTAAGCTAACGCGTTACACACCCCCTTAGCTTATATAAAAGGGTTTTAGGCAAGGTAGTTAATGCTTCTTTATATGCAAACAAAAGAAAATTAATCCTTTTAACTCCTTATATAGTGCTTTATTAAAACACTAAAAAAATAGTTTAAATCTACACTATATATAAGAGAGTCTTATTTTATACCCCGATTACCCTAGAAGGATATCGTTATATAATCCGGACTATATATACACCTTTATATATAGTCCCTATTACTAGGAACTGTTGTCTTCCTACGTAGTCTAAGCACAGACCGACACTATTAAGCCTTATCTAAGTACTCGTATCGTATAGTAAAGTTAGTTTAGCTAAACTAAGCCTATTACATTATTACTATCGGTTATTATATTAATCGCATAGGTAGCGTCTATTTAATTAGATAAAGGATTAGGTAAGATATATATTAGTTAAACAGATTTAATAAATTAGGATAAGTAACTTAACTAAGGACGCTACCCTTAGCTAAGACTACTGCACTATTATTACTAGCACTAATACAATCGCCGCAGACTTGTTATTAGTTAGTAGAAGTGACGTTCGAAGTAATAATATAGGCGATAGTAACGTACCCCGAAAGTAAGGTTTCCTATACTATTTGTTTAGTCTATATTAGAAGGTAAGGTTAAATCCTTTGTTCTAATTAGTCGTCGTTATCGTATTAGACACTTTTGCTAGCGCCAATCGATAAAGGTATACTTAATCGACTTAGTTACAATTAATAGGGGGGGGCGCCTACTACCTATTATATAGAGTTGTCTTCGTATTACTAAAGAGGAAGAGGTTGTTAGAGGAAGAGTTGCTTCCTTATATACCCCTATAACTGTATATCTTAGTTAGTTGTCAGGTTAGGTAGTCTAGTTAGTCTTAGCTGTTTAATAAACCTCTTCTAGTTCTAAGGGCTATAGAGCTTAGTTATTCTATCGGCTAGTATATCCTATATAGCTAGGTATTCGCATTGAATCCTTCTAGCCTTATATTCTTGCCTTAGCTAGCACTAGTGAATATCTATATAGCGGAGCTTCGTATCCAGTTTGCTAGTATTAGCCTTAATAATACGGATAGTCTATATATTGTCGTAGTATAGTATAGGAATACTGTCTAAGGTAAGGCCAATATTGTTAAAGAAACGCTTCTACTAGATCAATTCTAAGCCTGTATATAAGGTAGCTAGCAGTTTAGCTTCAGTCGTAGATTTAGTAACAGTTAACTGTCGTACTACCTTCTAATTAACTAGTCTATTGAATAGGCTAAATATCTATCCCTCTAACGACTGTCTCGTCCCCTTATAGTTACTATAGGATGCGTTAGAAGCTCCGTAGAATTTATAAAGCTGTTAGCTTAAATAAGTAGTAATTATTAGTCCGTTTGCGTTATACTCTAAGCATAGGTCCTTCGTGTTTAGCAGGTACCTAATACACTAGTCTGCTACTGCTATGTCTTCTGTCCGCGGGTTCTATAGAGCCTTAGACAACAAGGACACTACCTTAGCTATATCTGGCCTAGTTTAAACTACTGCAAAGTTAAGTAACCCTATACGGCTTTAGTAGGCTAGGATTGCTAATAGATTAATTCGAGTAGAGTTATCTTTACTAGAAGTTGGTTTCTTATATAGCTCGTATCTAGTTAGTAGGGGTGCTTTAGCTCTTCGACTAGCTATTACGACACTGTATCTTTAAGCTATCTTCTCGGTATATGCCTTCTAAGACAGCTATAGTTTCCTGTTCTACCTATCGTGTATAATTTCAATACTAAGGAACTATAAGAGCTTTCCTAGGTTACTAATTTTATATTCCTTTATTAACCTCTGCTTAAGGTCTATTGCCTTTTATATATGCTAGCGGTAATATAACAGTACAATATCGTCTACGTAGAAGAAGATAAATACCTGTTTGTCTAGGTCGGTGTATAGGCAGTCTACATTGTCTACTAGTTGCATACTAAGTTTGTTTTCTAGTGTTGTAGTAAAGTAGTTGTACTATAGCCGAGGTAACTCCTATAGACTATAGAGTGCTTGGATTAGTTTTAGCACCTTGCCCTTCTACTTAAATCTATTAGGCGGCCTAAGGTATAGCGTATATAGGAACATAGTATTAAGGAAGGCATTAACTGTATCTATTTGCTTAGCTTCTAGGTCAAACTTAGCTACGATAGCTATAAGGGCTCTGAAAACTCGTACAGCTAGTGTTAAGGCATAGGTGTCTAAGTGTGTATTCTTCTAAAGGTCCCCTCTCGTATATACTCTTACCTTAAACTTAATCAGTCGGCCATTAGCATTACCCTTGTATTTGAATACCTAGGTAAGAGGCAGAAGATTAGGCTTATTTAGTATATTTAGATCTACCTATTTAAAGGTACGTATCTTTAGGGCCTTATTGAATTCAACTCTTGCAGTATATATCTATTGTTCCTTAAACCGGCTCTTAAGTACCTGTCGCTAGTTACGTAGCTCTACTAGTAGGTCTGAGATCTTCGGTATAAGGCTTGAATTATGTTCGTCGCGTAGAAGTAGTAGCGGTTCTAGGGAATTAGGTAGATCGCTGCTAGCTTAATTATTATCGGCGCTGTTACTATATATTAACCTAGCTTCGTGCTCTGCTGCTATATACAGGTTGCTAAATAGAAGGAGGTTTCTCGCTTGTTCTCGGTCGCTAATATAGTAACGGCCGTCTCGGTAGATAGCCGCTGCTCGCTATCGTTTGTTTAGATTGTTAACTCGATAATACGGCCCTCCTATGTTTAGGGAGTAACGATAAGATATATTAGCGGCTTCAATTAGCATTAGCAATTCAGCTAGCTTAGTACGTAGCAAGTTGAAGTCTATATTATCTATATAACCTAGTGCGTCTACTTCGTTAGCAGGGGCTTTATTACTAGCATCGTTCTTAGGTTGTAGTTGCTAATTAATAGTTAGTTCTATTAATCTATCTAGTATATTATTACGCGGTTATAGTATTTCGCGTAGATTAATTAGAAAGTCTCGTTTCTATATAGGCACCTATACAAGCTGCAGCTTAGCTAGTGCTAGTAGTTAAGGTAGTAGTAGTTCTAGTCCAATAGGGTTATCTGTTAGCCTATTAACTATTATAAGTCGACTAGGCCCTATTAGTGTATCTACCCCCTTAGCTCTAAACCTAACAAGGTCTAGAGGTATGTCGTAGGCTTCTCGAAGTTCGTTAAACTAATGCTCCGAGGCGGGTGCTTGTACTTCTTCGAGATCACTATATTCTTCTGCAAGCTCTTAGTTAGTTATAACAACGCCTAGGTCGTTATTATAGCCGTTATAGAACTTGGTTTCGTTAAATACAACATCTCTTATACGTAGCACTGTTATCCTCGAGGGCACCTATATCCTATAGATAGAGTGTCCCTTATAACTATATAGGTACCTAATATAGGTCCGTAAGGCTACTTTTATAGTGTTTAGTAGTATAGCCTTCCTTTTGCTATTGCTATTAGCTGTCTCTGTGCCGTAGATTACTAGATATGCCCTTACACTAAACTAGTAGATATAGGCTACATTTGGCTTATAGCTAGTGCTAATCTTATATAGTGTTCGCATTAGTAGGTTAGCGGTTCGAGACCTTAGTAATCTATTAGCGAGGAAGGTAGCTATATAAACTGCTTCTAGCTATAGGTTGTGAGGGAACCTAGTATATATTATTAAGGCTCGAGCTACCTTAATAATAGTACGGCCTGCTCGCTTAGCTAGGTCCTATTCTAATGTGTACGGGGCTGTTAGCCTCTATATAGTATAATTATTGCGTAAGTAGGACCGAAAGCGAAGGCCTAAAATTCCTCCTTTATTGTTAGATAATAGGCATATAATGTCTCTGCTAATACTGCGTACGAAGGTAGCTATTTAGTTCTAGCATTGTAGGAGAGTTGATTCCTAGCGATTGTTAATAGTCTATATAAAATGAAGTCTAGTATTCAGATCGTATACGTAAAAGATGTACTAGTCTCTATTGTAGGCTAGATCTAGCTGTATTAGGTCGGCTGCAATATGTCTATATAGAGTTAGTATTAATACATTATAGTGCCTTAGTCTCCTAGAAATAAGCCTCTTTCCCTTTACTTATATATATATAGGACAAAGCGGTGTTCTTAGTACCTTATTGTTATATATATAATCTCTTATTATTCTATTAACCCTATCTACAAGCTCTTACGCTCTCTTAGAGCCGAGATGTCTAAACACCTTATATATTTGTTTAAGGGTAAGCTTCCTTAGCGGTAGTAGGCGTACGGAGCGACGAGCTATTACGTAGGCTAATAGTATAGTTGTCGACTATGCTAGTTAGAAGGGGTATAGGTATAGCTTGCCTTTATCCCCTATTAGCTATTCGAGCGGGGGTTTACTATCTACTTTATAGGTAATATCGAAATAGGGCATATAGTTATTAGGTCTAATAAGAGGGACTAGTAGTTTCCCCTATAGGTTGTAGAGAATATTATTAAGCTTATTGTGCTTAAACCTACGGTAATAGAAGATTGCCCTATTAGGGCCAAAGAGGCTATACGTAATTGGCATATAGTTAGGCCGAGTGAAGCCGGGGTCTCGGTGCCTTAGGCAGGGCTTAGCGCTTAGCGTTAGGCTAACTTACCTGCCTTCCTCCCTCTCCTTCTAGATCCTTATCGAATACTACTCGTACCTACTACTACCCTATCTACCTGCTAATATACCCTTCTTATACAGT